ACAATAACCAATTAGGACTATAAATGGATAACATTTTTCAACAACCATATGGATGATATACACCGACTGTAGGGGACAATTTGTTTTTCAGTATTTTGTTGTAAACAATTATAAACCAAAAATGGATTTTTATTTATTTATTTATTTTTTTTGGAAATTAGATAATACTTCTTCACCTTCCCCTACCCCTACCTCCACGACCCATCTCCCTTGTAGTTGGTGAACCCTCTGCATAACAAAAATTAAATTTCAACATAAAATGACAAATGCAAGAAATAAAAATATACTTTTATTTATTTGTCCATTATAGTATCCTACTTTGATATTTCTTATTAGAAATTTTCATCATTGTTTATTCGAATAGATCTCTGAGAAGTGAAATGATATATCCTCCTTCATGGTCGTCTTGAACCTCCATTAACTAATTTTGTTCAATTTTAAATCCAATGATCCGTAAGTTCACTTGGATTCTGTAACCTTTCAGCTTCCCGTCTTCTAACGAATCTCCCAGCAACTATAAATTATGCAAAATTAAAACTTTTAGTTTCATACATACAATGGTAAATCGTTAACAATCAACATCACACGTAAAAACAAATCAAGTGCAAGAACGAGCACTTACATCCTTTAATTTCACACACTAACCTATCATGCTTCTGAAGGTGTCAGCATTAGGGTGTATATTATGATCATTTATCATTTTATTGATGCAATGAACCTGGCATACAACAGCAAAATGCAAGAATTATTTCCTAGTGGTTTCCTTTAAAAAAAAACAAAGACTATGAAACAAAATAAAAATGTAATATAAATGTACCAAATTGTAATCATGGCTTGTATAGGATGCTGATAATAGAAAATCAAATGTATCTATTCTCACAGCTAACTCTTCTTCAAACATAGATTCAACTAAATCAATAGCTAATTATACCTGAACATAATAAATTATCAGCAATGTTTATAGTGAGATTAAAAGCACAAAAGAAATTCAGATCTTTCCTACCTTCAGTGAGTCGCAACATGTTTTAATAAGCTTATCATAAGGTGCAGACGGAGATGCAAGCTTTAATTCAGCCTGCAAAAATTTGAACCTTTTTACATTGTCTTCAATCTTGAAACCATGTAACCAAGGGAGTTAGTTTACAATCGAACACTATATATTTAATTATTTATATTTACAACATATTTTTGACAAAAATTGATCAATATATTCAGTATCATCATTGCATAACCTAAAATCAAATCTGACAGATCGTCTTTACCTTGTCCTGTATTCATGGTTCACCGTCTTGTTCTCCACATCCGTTTATGACCGTATGACCAAACTCTATCTTTCTCACAATAAAATGGCAAACTTTTTACAGAGATTCAACAAAAAATTTGACCCATTAAACAATCAGACAAATGGAACCCTAAAATCCAATGGAAATAGGAGTAATAAGATTACCATCAGGATTTGAACATGGTTACAACAGGCATAGGCATACGGATTCCCTGCCCTCCATCTCTATATCTGACAGCGACCAGCGCTACTTAGCTGCTTCCAAAACAACCCATCCAATCAACAACCGCGGATAATGTAGAAAAAAGCAAGCGTGAAAGCCAGATCAAAGGCGTTGATAGTGGAGGGTAGAACCAATGACGTGGCGGTGCTGACGATCGTGGTGATCGGAAGGATTGACTTCAGCTTGTAACATCAGGAGGCGGTGGAGCAGAAAAGGGAGGACACATAGAGGCAGTGGAAGCGTGAAGAAGAATGGTCTGAGGCCCTGGAAGCCGATGGGGTAAGATCGATAAGATGAGTGTGGATGTGGTCGGGGTCGAAGTAGACCTGCACAAAATTAGGGCTCGCCGACCTCTGTAGTGGTGGAGGCAGACTAGCGATTATTATTGAAGCCATTGTCATGGTCGGTGGAAAGAATTGTAATTATTTTTCATCGTAGAAAATATGATATAAAGTAGTGTCTAGGACATGAAATAAAGTGTCTAACCAAATTATTGCAACTCAATTATTGAAGCCCTCAATAGTCTAGGGGTTATATTGTAAATATGTATGTCGTATTGCAATCAAACGATTGCAACTCAATTATGTAACCGGCTCTCTTGAGCCTATAAATAGGGCATTTGCCCGTATGAAATAAACAAGTTAAGTTTGAGTGTTTAAGACTTGAGTTGATCTTAAAGTTCTTCCTCTGTTGAAATAGTCGTTCTATTTCTGAATAGCAGAGTCCTATCCAAACATACCCAAAATTATTCATATAATCATTCATATAATTTAAACAATCCATCGTCAATCCATCCTGACGCATCATTCAGGTATAATCTTATCCTAATCTTTTTATTAATTCCGTCATGTCGTTAATTTTGGTATCAGAGCTAAGTATCGTTCTTATTA